TTCCTGTAGCAACAGCTCTGTCTCAGTGCCAGTTCCATGCCTTACCTTGGGGAACTCTTCAGGTTCAATGACTTGGGTTGTGTGCCTGTCCCCAAAGATTCCTTCCTCAGACACAGGCAGCTAGCTGACCAAGGGGCAGGAAGGTTTCACCAGGCAGGGGCAGCTCTAGAATCTGGTGCTCCAGGCTGTCCATCTCCAGGGAAGCAGATTCATCTGAAGCACCTGTTTCCCCAGAAGAACCTCAGCTAACACAGGAGCCTTTCTGTTTTTCTGAGGACCTGCACGTTTGTGTAGGCTCCACCTTCTAAACAAACTCCAGCTCCAACTGGTTACTACATCTGCTATCACCACTAAGAGGCTGCCATTTAGTGTGGCCCAGTTGGTCTGTCTGCCTTCCTTCTAGTTTCTGCAGTGCATGTAGTCTGTGTTCTTCTCAAAAAAGCTTCCTGAAACACATTCTGTCCAAAGCTCTTCCTGTGCCAGCTGTTAAATCTCTGCCCCCCCTTGAACTTCCATCAGGCTGAGAACGCCTCCTTCCCAAACACAGCAAGCCAAGATTACAGGAGAGGAATGGCACCAGGCCTTGTTCCGCAGCATGGGGCTTACCAGCTTCCAGCAGCAGTTACAGAAGAGCTTCCGCTCTGCCCTGTGGGCCTGTGCCCTCAGGATGACAGCTGATGCCCTCCTCCAGGCATTGGCGGACTTTACTGAGTGTCCTGAGCTGTGCAGTGTACCCTGTGTGGCTGCAACCCTGACCTTGGGGTCAAATCTGGCAGCATGGACCTTCTTGCTCTCTCACTGGATGTCCTTCATATGCAGTCAGTCCCCTAAGTCTGGTCACATGGAAGGTGACTGCATACTTTTGTTTGTCACACGGGGGCAGGTGGCCAGGTTTGGGGCGGGGGGGGGAAGTGGGGGGAGTCAGACGCAAGTGTTTGGCTATGTTGTTACAAGGTTGGAAAATTGAAGATAGGTGTGTTTGCATTTGTTCGAAAAACATGAGCACAGCCACGGATGGTGGTGACTACTTTCCCGTTCAGCGGCTCTCATTAACAGCAAGCATGATAATGTGGTTCAAAGAGACTGTTGCCAGTGCAGAGTGCGCATGCTGGGCTCTCAGGTGGCCTGCTTTAGGAGCTTCTTCCAGGTGACGTCGGAGCCCTTCAAAGCATGGGAGGGTACTTTTCACCATCATTTTGTAGCTGGGTATTTTGCTGTGATCAAAGTCCTAGAAGAACAACACACCTGGCAATCTGATGCTTAAGGACAGTTTTTGATGACTAAGGAAAAGAAAAATACATTTAGAAGCCTTGCAAAGAAGGCCTACAAACAAGTCCTGTGTAGTACTGTGCATGGGGTTTTGTTGGTGGTGGTCTAATTTCCCAGTGCGGAGGTTTAGACTCGGAGCCTTAGACTTGCTAGGCAGGTCCTCTACTGTTTGAGTCATGATGCCCCCAAGTCTGCTTTGCTTTACTTTTTTAAATAGTGTTTCACATTTTAGACTGGACCTGCTTGGACTTTGATACTCCTATTGTAGCTGGAATGGACAGGCATGTACTGCAATGCTTTGGTTATTGATCCAGATGAGGTCTTGATAAGATTTTCCCCTGGGCTGGCCTCCAACCATGATCCTTCTGATTTCTACCTCCAGAGTAGCTGGAATTTATAGGCATGAGCCATTGCACCTGGCTTTTTTCTTTTTGAGTTTCTGAACAAGCACATGCTCTTGTTTAAAACCCCTGTGCACCTCTGTCCAGGCCACTCATTGAAGAATCTAGCATCCCACCCCACTGAGAGGCACTGGTATTTGTCGACCCCAGCATACTTTCCATACCCTTAGGATGTTTGCTTGTTGCCTCCTGTGGACTCTGAAGCACCCACAGAGAGCCAAGCTTCCTGGGGTCCTCTGGGTGAGGACATTCAGGTGAGGCTCTGGGCTGTCCTGGCATGCTTGGTACTGATGAGGCAGTCCACAGCAGGCTGCTGTACAGGGCTCTGTAAATGCTGGGCAACTGTGTTCTTACATACTCACTACCCTGCTCTCCTTCAGGGGCTTTGTAGAGTGCCAGAGGAAGGGCCTCAGACAGAGCTTTTGAGTTACAGGGTGGCCTTCTACCCTGCCTGTGACCACTGGGTGCCCAGTGCCTCTTTCCTGTGAGCTCATAGAACAGGATGGACCCAGAACCGACAGATGAAGTTTCTTTGAATCCCAGCACAGGGATTCAGGTTTTGTTTGCTTTCATTGGCTCTTCACTGCTGAGGCGGGAACAGTAAAAATACGTATAATAGACAGGTGTTTGTTAAGTGAGTCATAGCTTCAGGTGTTTGTCACCATCCAGGAAGCAACATGAGGACGTCTGCTCTTCTGAAGTGCTTCCATGTGGGGGAGGTGCTGAGCTGAGCTGACTTCATTAAATGGCCACAGGAGCTGGGTGGCATTAGGAAGAGGTGAGCATTGTGACCAGCCATGGTCCTTAGACATGCTCGTCTCAGTTGTGTGAGTCTGGCTACAGTGTGTGGGAACTGATGTGCCTTGGATAAACATGACCCAGGTCTGAATGCTGTCTTAGGACGTAATCATAGTGGGACTTTTGTTCTCACAGGTCTGTTAGTGTAGCCCTCACAGCTCGGGGAGGTGCACCTGCCAGGCACTGCTTGGCTGAGGGGGTTGGGGGTCAGGAGTCTGCTGGTCCCTGGCAAGACAGCACTTGAGGTGCCCATTTATAGGGGTCCTCACTGTCAGGAAGTGCTGTTCTGTCCAGTTCTCAAGCTCACTCCATCTCAGAATCCCTTGGGGCTATTTCAAAAGCCTTCCACCATGTCCTGATGCACGTGGTTTGGTGATGGACCCTGGCCACCTTGTGACTGCTGCCCCATAACCTCCTGGCTCTGCTCTGCCACATTAACCATGTTGCCTTTCATTCTGGCAGGAGCAGATCATCAGTCTGGTCAATCAGATCTGCGGCAAAGTGTCTGGTAAAAACGGCAGCATTGAGAACTGTCTCAGTAAACCCACACCAAAAAGAGGCCCCCGCAAGAGAGCAACCGTGGACGTGCCGCCATCCCGGCTGTCCTCCTACGGCTCATCCAAAAGTGCTTCGAGCTCATCATGAAGATGCCAACCCATGGTCGATTTATATATATTTTTTGTAATTATTATATTCTAGTTTGGAGTACTTGCTGTAGGATACAAGCTGTCTTTGCACTAGCTCTAAAGAAGATTTTCTTCTGGTTTTAGAGAACTAATTTTGTTTTAGCATTAAACTGTTGAAGTTTTTTTTTTTTGTACTTAGAATACCTAGATACTGCAGTCAGATTTTTGAAACTGCCGTATATTCACTGTTTTAAAAACCCTTGAGGGGCTGTATTAATTTGTATCGCCCCTATGGCTAACAAAAGCCTTTTTTGTTTTTAATTTTTTTGTTTTGTTTTATTTTGTTTTTGGTAATTGTTGGGGGAAAAAAGGCTTTTTAACCCATTTTTGAAGAGGGTGAAGTTTGGAGAACAAATTTTAAAACTCAGTCATGTGAGCAGATTTTTCTAGATTGGAAAGGGATAGGAGACACACAGAAAAAAAAAAAAAACTTGAAAAGAAATGGCTTTACTTTGGCTGTCTTTTCTTCTGTCATGTGCAAGATGAGTTTGTACCTTTTGAAACCGGAGAGCCCGTTTTGTTTTGCTGGGCGGTTACGGCAGCTGAAGCTGGACACTGTTTCTTAACCACAGGCGAAGTGTGGAGTCAGAGTGACGGGGTTCTCCTTACCAGCACATCACTATGCATCCGTGTGAGGACGAGAGAGGACGAAGACAAAGACTGCCTGCCTTGGAGGGTCACTGAGGGAGACCTGTGCCTGATTTCATTAGGAAATCCATTCTGTTATTTTTTGGTGCTGTTGGCTACTTTATCAAAAAACCCTTCAATAGCATCCTTAAGGAAGAAAAAGGAAAAAAGTGATCGAAGCGTATGTGCTTCTCTGTCATCGATGTGCAATCTTTCTAACATTCCACCTTCATCTCACCGCTTCTCGTTTTACACCTTCACAAGTCAGCATTAATCTTTCATTTTAAATTTGTTTTGTTCATGATCATTTAGAGCCACTAGGAGGTCTGCAGTTCTTTTTGAATGTGAAAATGCATTTGTGCTCTTCTTGTCTATTTTCCTCTTGTTTTAACAAAAAGGAAAAAAGAAAAAAAAAAGAATCCCATCCCTTTTGTACATAAGCCTGTAAATTGTTTTAAATACTTGAGCCTTTTCTTGGTGGGGGGGGAGGGGAGGGGGGTGAGAAGACAAGATGAAGAAAAGCCTTACATTTCAGTTTCTTCATCGGTTGGATTGGATGCTTACAGGGTTTTTCTTGTAACATTTATAAGTGCTGCTTACATCACTGAACAACAACAAAAATAATAATGGAGTAGCTGTTGCCCTTCTCCGGTTGTGTGTACAGTATGTGTGGAATAAAAAAGGGAAACTGTTTTCACAAGCTGTTCTTTGTTTCATAATTGGATCATCAATCCCGTAGCTACCCATATTGCACTGAGCTTGCCAGTGGTGACTGCCAGGAACGTCCTAGGATCCACTTTGTTGGTTGTTGTTGCAGAAGACTGAACTGTTTTGGAATATTTAACGATGACGTGAACGGAGTCAAGTGTTTTCCAATGTGGTTGTCCGGTTTTTATGGCCTTGCTGTGTACTCTTTCCTCTTGACAGTAAACTTCCGCCTATGGCTTACAGTTTGACATTTAATTTATTAGCGCTGCTCTGCACCCTCCCTTGAGAGGGAAGACTTCATGTGGTTTATTGCCAGTTTTTTGTTTACTTTTCAGGTTTGTACTACAAGGTTTAATAATAAAAACAAAGTTTTTTGGACCTTTGTCTGTCTTGTGGAAGATAAGTGAATGGAATGGGTTTTCTGGTCCATGGGCAGAGGGTGAGATTCCTCCCGTTTGCCAGGGAATAGAGTACCCATGTGTGTTCATCCTACTTTCTTAACATCTGCTGGTGGCCCCTCTGTGGTGTTCTAAGCACAGGGCTTTGAGGGGTGGTGGGGGGAGCCCAAAGAACTGTTGCTTTTGGTTCAAGTTTCTGTTCCTTTGGTCCCAGGTGTGTGTTAAAGCAAGAGCTGGCCTGTTGGTGGTAATGATCAGATGAAAACCTGAGCTTTGTCAGAACAAGTTTGGCTACAGTCAGTTGTATGTTAAAGTACAGCTTTCTGCCTATAAAAGGCTCGGGACTGAGCCCGATGGGACTGACTTCTAGTCCTGCCTGCCCTCCTGCAGTACCCAACGGTGCCATCAGTATCCAAGTTCCCTTCCTCACTGGCCTTGTGGATAGGAATAAGGAGAACCCTTTCTGTACAAACTAGCGACATGCTCCATTTAAAGTCCTCAAAGCTTTATTGTTAGCTCTTCTCTTGGTTTCTCACATACTATTGGCAGTTGTATAAAATCAAGAACCTTGGTTCAACAACATCCTGACTTTTCAGGTGGATTCTGCTTACAGTCAACACTTCATTCAAATGTCCTGAGTAGAGTCACTGTCATCACTGACATCTGGGGTGGCCTTTCTGTCAGTGTGTAGAGTGACCAGGGCAGTGTCCACCTGGACCTCCTCCTCGTCAGACTGCACAAGGGGGCAATCCTCACCTTCACCAGGGCCCAGGGGAACCAAGTCGGTGCAGGCAGAGGGCGAGGAAGGTGGCTGGGGTGGGAATTCTAAGGGATTTGGAACCTGAAGAGTAATGTCATTCTGACAGGGGTTGGGTTCAGGTCCTGCAAAAGAAAGTAGGAAAAAAGTTAGAAAAGTATTGCAGTTGAGAATTGCAACATATGTCAGCCATCCACTTGCCCAGAAGAAAGGGCTGCTTGGTTCCACAGCCAGGTTCCTTGTGGAGCCTGCCAGCTGTGCAGGAAGGACCAAGTACCCTTTAACACTGAGTGACACCCAGCAAAACAGTGTGCTTGAAGGCCTGAGGGCAAATGCTGGAGCAGTCCATGGAACCTTCTAGATGATTCTTTGAAGTAATTCTAAAACACCAAGGCTAAGAGACAAAGTCAGAATTAAACAATTCCATAAAGGTGTTGAGGCTGAGAATCACTTACATGCAGAGTCACTCTCCCTAAATCTCCCTGCTCCACTAAAGGGCTGTAACTCCGCCTTCTCAGCACAGGGCTAGTGCCTGGGACAACCATGCTAACAGATCTGTCAGAAGGACAAGATCAGAGGAAGTGGGAACCGTGGTACTGGGGAACTTTCTACCTCAGAACTGAGTTTTGCCTTTCCCTTCTTCATGGAAAGGCTTGCTTTGTAGTGATGTATACAAAAAGACCCATCCAGAAGAACTGATTTAGAATGCAGTTGGGCCCACATTTCAGGTCTGGTGACTGGGCTAATGTGTGCTGACTGGAGTTGTAGTGCCCACGAGGTTGCAACTACTCTACAGTGGCCTTGCCCACAGCAGAATTTGCCGAGCCTCTGTTGTGTACAGTGTGAGCCATGCTAGAGCATCCTCTTCTCCCCTAAATTCCAAAAGTCTGAGATACCTCAGGCACTGTCCCATTCATTGAGGTAACAGGAATGACACTTCAAATCCTTGAGAAAACCCATGCCAGGGTAGTCAGGGTTTCAGTCACCTCACTTCTTCCCGTGAGCCCAAACAATTCATACATCCATGTCTGGTCAAATTACTTTGAGGGAGATGTAGTTACGTCTGCATTTGTTTGTTGACTCCTACCTAATCCAGGGGACAGCGCAGCGTTATCTTCTCCACCTGAATTCAAGAAGACATCTAGGGCCTCCTGGTCCGAGATGTCCATCAGATCCATCTGCTCCAACATGTCCACGTTCACCTCCATGGATGACATGCTTCCCATGGGCTCTTAAGAACAGATTGGCAGTATGACATTGTATCTTTTTTCTTTCATACTACAGAAGGTAAATTTCCTTGGCATTAGGCTAATTTCATTGCATTTTCTTGTATTTCCTATGGGTACCAGATGACACTGGTTTAGGATCTCCTCTTAGGCACCTTTGATTACTATGACCTTTTACCCCCTCCACAGGAACTATTCTGTATACTCCCAGTCCCTTGTTGGCAAGTGGGGTATAGGAGCTGTCTAAAGAGGCTGGCTACTGTGAAATTGCATGAGGTCAGCAATCTGCCCCCTCCCTATAAGCAGGCACCATCTAAAATTCCAGATGCTTTCACTGCCTTTGGGACATTTGTCAACCCCAATCATTTTAGCCTCCAAGCAAAAGGCAGAAAATGTTTGAGGCACCTGCAGGTTGAGGAATGGAAGCAAGAGCTCTCTGCAGTGATGGCACAGACAGGGGAGACCACCACAGCCCAGCAGCAACAGGAGAGACCACTACTCTGCCTCCCAGAGCTGGAGTTCATGCTTCTGCTGCTTTTATGGACCAGAAAACCATAAGCCATAAAGTCATCCCAGGCGTGACCGTACCTGGCAGAAGCAAATGGATTCTGGAAGGAGGTACTCCTAACTTTGGGTTTCATGGGAATATGAACTCATACAAGCAATTCCAGCCTAGTGTGGAGTTTACCAAATACACAGCAGCAAGTCCCTGTGTGGGCCAGCAGAAACAAACTTGGTGTTGAGCATCTTTAACCAAGAGCCTTGGGTGAACCCTGTAGAGAGTAACAAGTAAAAACTAGGGCCAAAAAATGCATGAGGTATCTGACCACGCATTTGAAAAAAGGCTAAATCACTAAAAGTTTAATCATTGAAATTTAAAAACTTCAGACATGAGTCAAAGTGAAGATTAGCGAGAACCAAACAAAATCAATAAACAAGATCCCAATGAATAAATTCCCCACAGTACAGCACAGAAATAAGATGCAAAATGCAAAGGGTTAACCTGTTCACAGTTCCAAAGGAAGAATGTGAAGAGCAATTATATTGGAGGCCAATTTTTCCAGAATCCACAGACTTGGGGGCCCAGATTTAGGAAGTAAAATGCACCCCAAGCAAGGGGAGTCCCAAGAGGAAGGGTGCTAAGCAAAGAGACTTGTGCTTGCAATAAAGCACTGGTGATGGGGAATAACTAGACAACAGTGATGAGAGGAAGGGAGGTGTGCAGAGTTGAGGCAGGGCAAGGGTCCTGTTTCACTTAGAGGAAGGGGGGCGTTTATTAGTTACCGGAGCATCTGAACATAAAGTTGCCAAACCAGGCAGTGAAGAATGTCAGTTCTACTTGGAGGTAGGGAGCAAAGCTTTGGCAATATCCAACCAATGCAGTCCCCAACCAATGGAGACCAACCTGCTGTGCCTTAGCCTGGACAGGGTGGAGCTGGCTTTGACCACATTAGTGTCGCTGTTGCTTCTGCAACATCACAAGGCAGTAGTGCTGACCCCTGATGTCCAGGCTGACTGCTCAGGGGTCAGGCTTGTGCCTCCTGCCACTACTCTGATGAGGGTATGGCTGGGGGCTGTGAGTTTTCTTTTTGTGGCTACAGAATTGTTCCAGGGTGGCCCTTCTGGCTTTTGGCCAAGTGCTCTCTCTTCAATTTAGAAAGGAGCAGATGCTTCTGTTTCTGCTTGTGCCATCATCCTAAAAAGTTCAGGAATTTAACTTAAGGCACAGGAAAAGCTTTCAGGAAAATAGTGCAAAGTAAGATGGTAATGAAACCAGCTATGTTAGTAATCATTACACATGTAAATGAACCAAACTTGCAAGTTAAAGGAGATTATAACCAAGTATGGTGGTGCATGCCTGTAATCCCAGCAGGCAGAGGCAAGAAGATTGAGAGTTCCAGGCCAGCCTGGGACGACACAGTAAGACCCTGTCTCAAACAACAAAACCATATAGCTGATTTTTCTTTCATGGAAAATATATAATGGGCAAGCAAATAAGAAAACTTATAGTGCTCTAGCAAAGAAAATACATTTAAGGGAAGCCAAGACACAGGGTAAAGACTTTTGAGACAGAGCTTCACTATGTAACCCACGGTGACCCCTAATTTGGCAATCCACTTGCTTCAGCCTCCAGAGTGCTGGGATTACAGGCACATACCACCATGCCCAGTTACAAATTAACAATTTAGGAATACAAAAGCAAACCTAACCACGAGAACAGCAAAGACTGGGAAGTATTCCATAGATGCTATGCTAATTACCTAAAGATAATTCCATGGAATATGCCAAAATTAACAATAAAGAAAAGCTCTACAACCAAGAGGAAAAGAACAGCTCTTCCAAGAGAGAGGGATCACTGTCCCAGGCAGTGTCTGAGGTGAATTCCTTCTGACACTCAGGAAAAATGAGGACAGGTGTGCAGGCCTGGAAAAATCCCACGCAGAGGGTGATTCCATCAGTGTAGGGACTGGCTGCAACTCCAGTCAAACTCTGAATAAAGGTTTTCAAAGAGCTCGAAACCTTATATACAGGACATGGACCCCAGAATAGGCATGGTATCTGAAGGAAAATGAACTTTGCAGGGCCTTAGGTGGAATGGCTCCAGCTCAGCCCCCGCTACTGACACAGGACCAGAGGCCTTAGTGGGGTCATCCGGTGCCAGGTAGGAAGTTTAACAGCGCTCTGGTCTCTGCCGTCTAGATCCTGTGGCACACTCTTGCCCCAGTCACAAGCAAGTAAAACTATCAAATGTTCCTACTGGGAGCCACTGCTTCATGAATAATGTAAGATCATGCTTTTGACTCAGGGCTAGAAATCCACATTTGAGCTGAATGTACCCATATGGTTGATTATCAAGTTGCCCGCCCAAGAAAGCAAGCTACAAAAGGCTTACACACCTGTAATACCATTTCTATAATGTTTTAAGACCTACACAGCATACCATATATTGTTCTGGAGTGCATGTTGTGGTAAAGGCTGATTGCCTCTGGAGGTGAGGAAGTGGGCATTATCAGAAGGGGACAGGGGCCTGTGGCTGTGTTGGTGATTTTTATTTCCTCTACTGGGTGGTGGATACATGGATATTCATATTATTATTAATGCCTTTATGTCTGGGACTATTTTAAAACATTTTTAACAATGTGAAACAAATACTAACATCTGAAGCAAAAATTAGCATTGTTAAGTCTGGAAATGTGGTATGTTACATTATTGTCAGTTCTTTTCTGGATATTTAAATTTCTTCATAATTAAAGTAAAACCAAGCCAGGCACCGGTGGCTCACACCTGTAATCCTAGGAGGCAGAGATTAGGAGGGTCACAGTTCAAAGCCAGCCCAGGGCAAATAGTTCACAAGACCCTATCTTGAAAAAAGCCCAACATAAATACAGGGCTAGGGGAGGGGCTCAAGTGCTAGAGCGCCTGCCTAGCAAAGCATGAGGCCCAAGTTCAAACTGCAGTACCACCCAAAAAAAAAGTGAACATCAGTTAATTGATCACAATAATTTGCAAAATTCTAAATAAGGCCCCCAGGGAGGAGATAATCATACCAAGTTAAAATCATAGCTGGTTGTTGTGTTTTAGGAAGTTGTCGCATTCTAGAACATCTGCTAGTTGGGGGATACTGAGTTGGAGTATAGATGAGTTTTAATCTAGGCTGTCTTGACTACCTTTATTACCTTTATTGTTCATATCATTACTGGCACAAATATCACCTCATTCTGTTCCCAGGACCCTGGGTCCACTCTGGGACATCTCAGGACTGAGTTAGAAGACATCCACAGTAACCCGAAATCTGTGAGAACGAAGAGCCAGAAAGCAGGTACACAGAAGGGCATTTCCAAGGTGAACTATTAATAACAAACTGCATTGTTGGGATGACCTGACTCTCAGCACAAAGTGAAAGCAATAAAGATGTCTCTCTGAGAAATCAAGAGGTACATCAGGTGGAAGGGAAGCTCCACCCCGGGCCAGGGTCTTACAAAGCATTCCATCAAGCTGTAAAGCACTCAGACCCAACTGGCACAGGGCCATGGTGACGGCTGTGAGGCCTCCTCAGCACTCTGCTGGCTCATCCAGCCTCACAGATGGTCCAAGCCTGCATCCTTTATAGTGAAGTTCTGCTCTAAACTTTTCAGGGCCTTGTCTTAATAAAAAAAAGGATCCTTTTGAAAGCAAGAAAAATTAGACAGCTATTTCTGATTTAGTGGAGTCTGATTTAGTCAACTGACTGACTCTTTCTAAAAAAGACTTCCCCAGATTCATCCTGGAGATGAAGATCCCTTCTTAAGAAGACAGGAGGGACTGGGAATGCTGAGGCCACTGCTGACAGCCCTGGTGAGGGGCCTGCTGACAGTTTGTGGATCTCTCCAGCTCTAGCTGAGGCAAGCTGAAAAGCCCAAGGCCTCCAATTTCCTTCTTCAATACTTCAAATCCACATATACTGATAGCATGTGCCTATTTCATTCATTTTATTTAACAAATTGAGCCAAACACTCTCTTGAAGAAAATTATTCTTGAGATGCTGAAAACCACAAAAATCCAACCACTATTTAATGGACATCTGTCCAATATGCATTTGCCATGTGCCTCCCCCTTGCCTGGCCCTGGGGTCTGCTAGCCAAGGGACTGACTGCATATACAGACGAGCCTGTCTCCACGCATGCCTAGCTGTCGAGGCTAGGCTGTGGGTCCACTGGTCTCCATAAGAGAAGGGAACTCCCATAGGGACACTTTCATTTCCCCTGTGCCTCCTCTGAGCTCAAAAGAGCGCATCAAAACTGAACAAGGGCAGTTAAATCCTTCACCATGAGAGTTTCTGCAGCCATTCTCCAGGACACAAGGCATAGTACACTGTTTCATTATGCTAAAATCTGCAGGTTGGCCAGGGTGTGTGGGTCGTAGAGACTGAATATTTGTGGCCTGTGCCCAAATTCATTTGTTGAAGCCCTAGCCCACAATGGGTGCATGTGAGATGGGGCCAGAGATAATTAAGGTACCTGAGGTCAGGAAGCCGGAGCCATTATGAGATTAGTGCTCTTGTAAGAAGAGATGGTAAGCTGGGGATGTAGCTCAGTGGTAGAGCAATTTTCTAACACGGGCAAGGCCCTGGGTTCAATCCCTAGCAAAAGAAATAGGAGATACCAGAGCCCCCACCCCCACTCCCCATGGGAAGATGCAGTAAGAAGGTGCTGTCTCTAAGCTAGGAAAAGAGCCCTCTTTAGACACCAACAAGCTCCCTGATCTCAGCTCTCAGACCTCTGGAGCTGTGACAAGTACATTTCTGTTGCTGAAGTCAGCCACTCTGGGGTGTGGTGGTATTTTGTTACAGCAGCTTCTCATCTCCTGTCAGGGAGGATGAAAATCCCTGGCGCGACCCTTCCACTTGTTCTGAAGACACATGGCTGACTGTTGTAAATCAGTGGGGGAACCAGGGCAGAGGTAACTCTTGAGGCACAGTGTTAAACTTCAAACCTGTGTCATCCACAGAAGTTTAGAAAGCATTCTGTATGGAGTCAATCACCTGCACCTGTGAGCTTTGCAGTTTTTTCCCTTTTCATTCTTTGATTTCTTTGGCTCAACTGGATGACAAGGAAGGAACAAAGCCAAGGTGGCAGAGATAAATTGGGAGGTGAAGATGGGCCAGCAAATCTGGGAAGGATGAGCATAAGGAGTGAGGTGGGGGAGGGGGTCCAGGAGGTGATGAGCAGCCCAGGAGGACAGGGAAGCCCCCATGAGTCTATAATACCAGGGCAGATTGCTTGGTACCTATTAGAGGGAAAACAGAAGCTGCCCTGCCTGCTCCAGCTGTTGCTTCTCAGACAGCTGATTCCTCAGAAGAGGACAAGGAAGGAGTCTAGTGTATCTACTTCATCCCCAATCACTTTGTTCATTTGTACTTCTACATACTGTTCATCTAGAGAACTGATTAAATACTGTGGACCCTCCACTTCTGTTAGTTCCACATCTATGGACTCCGCCGACCTTGGATGGAGAATGCAGTTAGGTCTGTGATGGTCAGGTCCAGACACATTTTGTAGTATTTTTCTCTAAGCAATACAGAATGTGTACATAGCATTCATATTATATTAGGTTTTACAAATGACCTAAGGATGATTTAAGGAATTGGGGATGTTTGAAAGCTCTATGCAAATACCACACCATGTTATAGAAGGGACCTGAACATCCATAGATTTTGGCATCCATGGTGAGGGGTCCTAGAACCAATACCCCACATACACTGAGGGGCAACTGTGTATTTGGACACATCCTGACGATGAAGATCACCTTAAAAACATACACTTTGAAAGAATTTTTTTTTTCAATCACCAGGATTGAACCTGAGGGGCTTGTGCCACCAAAGCATGCACGACAGCACTGAGCTACTTCTCAACCCCTCAGGATCCTTAATAATGGGAAAGAGACATATACAACATCAAGAAAAGTCAGATACAAAGCCATATAGATGTTTAGCTTGATAGCAACTACTTAAATAGAATTATGAAAAAGACTGGGAAGAACCAAAGTGAAATTAATAATAGGTATTATCCTAAACTGTTGAATTATGGTTCATTTTTTTTTTTTGTCTTTTTCACTTAAAAGTTTTGTTTTGTTTTTTTCCCCCCTGAGGCTGGTTAATAGCTCAAGTAGTAGAGAACCATCCTGCAAGCTCAAGACCCTGAGTTCAAACCCCAGTATCACCCCCGCAAAATTTATTTTTATCTGGCTGGGAGGGAAGTTCAGTGGCAGAGCACTGACCTAGCACATGAGGGCGTGGGTCAATCCCACACTACAAAATAACAACAAAATATTTTGGGGCCAGGGATGGGGGTACATGGAGTGCCTATAATCCCAGCACTCCAGAGGCTGGGGCTGGAGGACCTCAACTTCAAGGCCACCTGAACTGCTTGAGAGGGACCCTGTCTTAACCCTCCCCCTGCCATAAAAAAAGACTTTTTTTTCAAGCTTTGTAGGCACAAAATTTGTTTCTAATTTTAAAAGTTAATCTTTAAGTCTTTAACCAGGACCTAGAACTACAGGAAGAGACAAAACACAGGCAAGTCAGGCGTGGCCTGAATGAGAGTTCCAAGGTCGGTGAGGCAGAGCTGCCCCGCCCTGCTTACCTCGCCGCTCTGCAATCTGCAGGTAGCCTGTGGAAAGGTACTGTTCCATGTCCTGCTGGAAAGCCTCCTCAAAGAACTTCTGCCGCTCTTTCAGCTTCATTTGCTGGGTGTGCTCCATCTCCAGGACCTTCTGTGTGTGCTCTGCATCTAGTTCAGCTGAGGAAGTGGACCACTTGGGTTAGGGTTTGAAAAAGGGGCTACACAGCACACGGGAAGTGGCACTTTACTTTGACAGACCTGGCACCCAACTTCATTGACAGTCACCACTCACCCCCACCTGCACCCTTCTGTTACTGGCCACTTGGCCCTATGCATGTGCTGTTCTCACCCACACCACTCACTTTTCAATGATAAGCAGTTGTCTGTCTTTCAGGACCTACTTCTCAAGTAGTCATTCTGTAACTCATGGAATCTGTTGCACCATCCTGATGTTTCCACAGAGCTGTCCTCAATCTTTTATAACTGACTTCTAAACTATGATATAATAGGTAAAGATGTGGAGTTCCTGAAAGACTGTGACTATCCATTTTAATATCTTGTCACCTGACTCAGTGCCTGGCACATAGTAGGCCCTTAATAAATATAAACAGTAAAAAAATGTAGTAATGGAATATTATTCATTCCTAAAAAGGGAAGAAATTCTGACACATGCTACACCATGACAAACCTTGAGGACATTATACTAAGTGAAATAAGCCAGTCACAAAAAGTCAAATACCGTTTTGATTACACTAAAATGAGGCACCTATGAGAAGTCAATTTCAGAGAAAGTAGACTGGAATTTTGCAGAGTTGGGGAGGTGGGAGGGAGAGTTAATGTTTTAAGGGCACTGAGTTTCAATTTTATGAGATGTAAAGTTACAGAGATGGATGGTGATAATGGTTGCACAACATTAAGGTGTTTAATACCACTGAACCACACACTTAACTTGGTAAACTTTTGTTTTTTTTATTATGTGTATTTTACCACAATAAAAACTGGGAAAACTATGTAGCCAGCATGGTGCATTAGAATGTGTCTAGGTTTGGCTTTGCTATATAGGGATCATGTATCCTGGCTAGTAAATCCATTATCTTTCTTGTCTGAAAATTTTAGGTAAAATATGAATGACACCGATATGAAACTTCTATGAAATAATGCAAAACAACTATAGTTTGAGGTGAGCAGGGGCCTTCAAGTTAGGCCGGCGTCAGTGCCACCGGGCAGCAACTACTGACATGAGCCAGCTTAGCCTCGTTCAAACAAGAAGCCCGAAGTGCCGGCTGATAAACAGACTTTCCTAAGTCCTGTGGCGAACGTAAAACTGATACCAGCTCTAGACATTTCCCATTATTCTCCTTGTGTGGGTTTAAGGGTTAGTTCTAGACTTGCTTTTAAAACTTAAGTCCTGTGGCACAGCTGACTTCACAAAGCAGTAAGTGTCTGAGCGAGTCTGACCTACACAGGTTCTCATGGCCACAGGGCTTTTCCTGGAGAAAGGTGAGACACACAAGAGGGACTTGACATGGGCTCCTCTCTTGCTGCTCTGATGATGGAGGGGCCGTGCAACAGGGAACGTAGCATCGAGGAGCTGGGAGCAGCCCCCAGTTGATGGCCCACAGGACCACAACAACCAGGACCTAGAACTCTGGAATACCACATGAGCCTGGCAAGTGAATTCTGCAACAGTGCCAGAGAAACAGCAGGGACACCCAGATTTCAGCCTGATTAGACCTTGGCAGAGAGCCCAGCTGCACCCTGCTGAACTTCTGGCCCACCCAGACTGATACAGATACATTTGTGTTGCTTTAAACTGAGTTGTCTGTGTGAGTTCCTGCTCCTGTCTGAACCTGTTGACTGAGGAATCTAACAAGGACAATCTGAGCCCTCTTCCTCGGCAAATGTGTGAGGACACCTATGCTGTGGCAGACACTGTGCTTGGCTGAATTAGAAAGAGGGTAAGGTGATTCTGTTACTCCAGAATCAAAGTAGTCAGCTACCTGACTCCTGGGGTAAGGCAGAAGACCCTAAAAAGTAATAATGTACTCAACATCTTATTCCCTCAGCTTCACCTCTGGGAAACATCTTTGGGATGTTATCAAGTGAGTTTTAACAAAACCAACATCAGACCTCACAATGAACAATGGCCCAGGAGGCCCCATGTGATCTGTCTCTATCTACAACCCTTCAAATTCCCATCACCACAACTCCTGAGTACACTAGTCCTGTATGCAGGATAGATCTTAAAGCTTAGTAATGGGGTTCATTTTTTAATCTCAAATAAGGTCTAGAGTTTAGTACTTAGAATATCCTTGGCTTTCTTCTTGTACTCTAATATACATACATGAAAGGAATATAAACTGATGTTAACCTGAGCAACACAGACAGGAAAGTAAACTTCCCAGCAGCACACGTATACTTCCTATGCGTACCTCATACCATCCTACCCACCACATGCCCTCTCTACATCTCCGTCACCCTCCACTCAAACCTGTGTTCACAGGAAGGTAGTGTGACAGTAGAAAGAGCACAGGAGTTGGAGCCAGTCCCAAGCTAGGTCATATCCTACTACAACTGTGAAAGGCGGTTCTGGGAAGCTCCTCCACCTACCCACAGGGTCCCACATCAGGCTATACGTGGGCACCTCTGTGCTTTCTGCTCAGAGTATCCTCTGAATCCTGCAGAGTCCACAATCCAGCACAGCTCTAAGGTTCTGGGGAAGTGAAGGAGCCCTCAACAGTGGCCAATAGGGGAGGTATATCCATGCCCAAGGCCTCCATCCTTTCTGGGACACACTCAGAACACTCCAAGTTCCTGGGAATTGCTGGCTCAAGCAGCCTCTCCAACCAGGCTTCCTTCCCGTTAGCTTATTCCCTCTGCTGCTGCCTCTCCTTTCCCCTCCCTCCCTCCTGTCTCCCACACCAACCACCTGCAGCAAAATCCTTCTGTTTCCAGAGATCCCCAAAGTAGGTATCTATTACTAGCTATCATTAACTTTGCCTGAGTTGCTACTTTATCCTCTATACAAGTGAGGTAAAAACACTCATTTCCTCAGGGTGTTGGCAGGATTCAGTGAGGTGGTATATGTACCAGCAGCAACACGGCATCAGCCAATGGCTGGCAGTATTATTATAACAACATTATCTCTACAACAGACTCTCCAAAAAGGAATGTCATGAACTGTTACCAAGAACTAGGATGGAGTCTAACAATGACCACCACCCTCTCCACTCCACTCAGACAATGAAGAAGCGAGAGCTCTCAGGAGCCTGGGCGCTGAGGAGGATGTCTTCTTACTCAGTTCACTTTAGCTGTCTGTTTAAGTGCTCCACACTGCCAAGTGCATGAGAATAAGTCAAGCCTAAAGCATTAAGTATGCTTCAAACACTTCACAGTACAGTTAATATGCTTTATAGAAATAATTCCAGAATAAGCAGTACAAAACCAAAGATCAATGTGGAAATCATCAAAGGGGTTTTAATTAAAGAATATCTTCTTTATATGTAATTGAAAACATTCCATTTTTCTTCAGAATACTTTGGCTATCTTAGTTTCTGAATTCTTGGTCCTATAGATTTATTTATTTATTTATTTTTGGCAGTACTGGGGTTTGAACTAAGGACTTTGCACTTGCAAAACAGGTACTCTACTGCTTGGGCCACACCTCCATTTTGCTCTGGTAATTTTGGAGATGGGGTCTTGAGAACTGTTTGCCCAGACTTTGCCTCCCAAGTAGCTAGGATATCAGGCACCAACCACTAGTGCCTGGCTAGGTTTATTATTATTATTGTACTGAGAGTACACTGTGACATTTACCAAAGTTCTTAAATATTTATAGTTGAATTCATCCCCTCCATCATTCTCCTTTCTCCCTTCTCCCCCCATTCCTGGAATAGTTTTAGCAGGTCTCATTTTTCCGTTTGCATACATGAACACATAACATTTCCACCATATTCACCTCCTACACCCTCTCCTTACATCCTCCCCCTTCCCACTTGTGCCAGCCCCAGACAGATCCTATAGATTTTTATCTTACTTTTTTTCCTACATTGGGATGAAATCCAATCATTTCTCAACCTTCAACCTTCATAGGGGGTTGGGGTACTCTGGATTAGGGAACTTAGATTTTTAAAATTTTTTATCTATTTATTTTTTTGGTGGTACTGAAGTTTGAAGTCAAGGTCACACTTGCTAGGCAAGTAAAGTGCTCTATTACTTAAGCCATACCCCTGGTGTTTTTGCTGTAATTATTTTTCAGATAGGGTCTTGCATTTTACCAGGGCCAGCCTCAGACTGTGCTCTTCCTAACTATGCCTCCTGACTATCTGGGATGATAAGCACACACCACCATGGCTTACTGGTTGAGATAGGGTCTCATTAACTTTTTTGCTGACACTGGCCTTGAAGTGTGATCCTCTTGATCTTCACTTTCAGAGTATCTGGGATTACAGGTGTGGACACCATGTTCAGTCCTGAAGTTTTAAAACACTGCCGTCTAGTTATTTTAAATATCTTCAACTGTCCCTTCAACTGTCCCATGTTGGCTCATACTTTATTTCACAGCTTCTATTACATCTTGGGGCTGACTGCCAGGTAGGACTTACTGAGCACCAAGTCCAGCAACACTGTTCCAGCTATGCATCCAGGATGAGTGAAAAAGCTCATGCCAGGCATTTAAAAATACCTCTGCAGCTCGAAAGTTAACAGAGATTTTCTGTCAGCTACGAGATAGAATGGGGATGGTCTCGTTGTACTGTGTTGCCTGAAACCATCTGCTGAAACTGCACCAAGAAACAACCAAGTTTGTGACACCATAGAAGGGTAGCTGAAAAAAAACATCAAATTCAGAGGTTCAGTAGCATCTGAGTCTTAGGATATTTAGTGAAAATCTATGTACAGAACCCTTCTTACAAAGAAAAATGACTCCTCATTCACATTTTTGATGCCATTTGTTATAGGGGGGAAAGCCAGATAAGCACAAAGATTTAAAGAACTTCAGCAAATGGCCTCAAGATTGAGAAGGATAAAAACCAAGGAAAAGATACTGTCATTTTTCTACTAGGCACCAGGAGTAATCTTTAATTCCATCATCAATCCAGGTCTATGACTTTTTATTTCTACTCCAGATCACTGGTCAAGTTTTATCTGTCTGCAAATTCCACATTAGCCACCATGTA